ATCCTTGTATTAGGGATTAATTCAAAATCCTTCGGTCAAAAGAAAAAGTCCCAAGTAAACAAAATGATAACTTCTCTAAAGAAAGCAGAAATAATACGAGAAAGAGAAAAATAAGCGAAAGTCTAAATAAAAGGCAAAAGGTCAAATTTGTTGTGGAAAAACTGATTTTTTATTTTTTTTCTCAAAGACGGTTTTAAAAATTTGGCTGAGCTTAATGAAAATACTAAAATGAAGATGAGATAGTTGTGGCATACAATGAAGATATTGAAGAAGTATTTTATATATAATAATAATTGAAATTTAAAACTTTTAGGGGATTTTACTGATAGAATTGTGTTACACTTACAAATATGATTTACAAAGTAGGTTGATAAAATAACATTCTCACCAATCATTTCAAAAACAGGTTTGTAAGGAAACTTTGGACAAGTAGAATTATTGTTTACTGATATTACAACAAATATTATCTAAATTGGCTTAGAAGAAAAATTCGCCTGCCAAAAAACTTACCACTAGATTTTAGCCAATAGTAAACCCCTGTTTGGTGGAAATTAAAATCAAATAAGTAAATTTTTATAAAAATTAACAAAATGTATAGTTGAAAAATTATGAATCCAATAAAATATATGATTAAAATTAATTGTTGACTCCGACCTAAATTAAAATCTAATTATAATCCCTACCAAGGGTTAAATGTAATTCTAATTTTGCCCTTCTTTAGTCTGAGTTGACATGCGCCTTTCCATGTTCGAGATTAAGCTTCTCAAATATCACTTAATTTCCCTAAAAATAACGCAGGAGCTAAGAAAGATCAAACTATACTATAGAAGAAACATAAGTTAAAATCTCTTCTATTGTCATGTTTAGTGCTACATAACAACAACGCACCAAAGAAGAAAAATAAGATAAAAATATGTTATTTCCCAAACCATATCCCTATTTTCACAGAATTATGATTAAATCTATATATACGTCAGATTTTTTTTTTGCTTATATGCGTTTTCACACTTTACCATCAAAATTTGTTGGATATTCAATGCAAAACAATTTTAACTTATTAGTCACGCAACTATGGTGAAAAGTTCAGCCAACCCAGGTTGAACATTTTATAACTATTCTGCCATTATCAAATATGTTAAAGAAAGAGATACATCCAGTAGATTGTTCATTTAAAACAAAACCGGGTCAAGAACTTATGTATATAATATAAATTATAGCTCAATTTAATTGCTCCAATTATTGGTAAATTACCAGGACATTATTCTTTTTCCCTGCGTCCTCTGTATAACTTCTTTCAAGTGCAGAACAAAAGAAGCTTCCCGGAGGCCACCATGACCGTCTGCAGCACGTTAAACCGCCTTTAGTATACTTGTGTTCGGCATTTAGTACCAAACCAGATAATACTATAAAGTATAAACAAACTTCTTCTTTCGTTATTTGAAATAGTCTGCGCAGTCGAGTCTACCTTACAAAACATGCCAATATAGTGCACGAATAGAGTACATTTGGGTGGACCAAGTAGTTTTAACTTCAATTCTGCAAATCAAGTGACCAGTAAATGCAATTTAGTACCAAAGACTTGTATATGATAAAAACAATAAAATCTTTAACGCGTCCAAATAAAGCCACATCCTAATGATGAAAATACGTGAGGAAATGCGTACCCTATGCACTTGGTCTAAAAATCTCGGCAAAAGTCAGCTTGAATTTGCATCGGTGGAGGAATGAACAAGTCACCTTGCCGGTTTTTCTTCTTCTAGGAATAATTGAATTATAGATTGGATAACTTCATTATCAACTACATCTGATTTCTGCAGCGCCACATAAGGGAACAAGATGAAAAACTCATATTCGATATATAATAAAAAAAATCTAGAAAAAGGATAACCAGTCCACATGTCCAAGATAATGAAGGTCAGAAGGCTTCTAAAATGAATTTTTTGAAGGGAGGGAGGAGGGAAGAAAGAAGAACATTGATATAGTTAACCATAAAATGCAGAGTATGTGCGACTTTCAAAAGAGTCCAGAAAGCTGCATCCCATATACAATATATTCATCATCAGGAAAGTCTATAAAGCCAATGCTCATGAGCAAGGATAAATGGTAATAGTTTCAATTCAAGTTACCAGACAATCCATTATTTAAGAGAGAACGAACAAGAGTAAATACAAAAAATTATTACGTCAGCAAAAACGAATAGGATACCTGTGGATTACGAATGAGCTCCTTCAGAATAGAATGAAGAGTCAATCGAAGTTCTTTAAAGAGGACAGCAGTTTGTGCCGGTGCTGCCATTTTTAGCCAACCATCTACAGTAATTAGTCCTGTCTGCAGAATCAAAAGCAGAAATGTTTCTGACATTCTATCAACCGATCAATGAGTTAAACTGGTGCAGCCATTGATGGAGCATGTTTTGTTGTTCACAAAAGCAAGTCAAATCACTTAAAAAGTTACTTATTTTGCAAAACATGATTCTCAAATGTTACTTTTTATACTAAACAAAGTAAGTTAAGACTTACTTTTTAGAAAAGTAAAGCAAATATTTTGATTAAAAAAAATGGCAAAGATTTCGATAGTGGACCTCTGTTGATAAATCATATGTACTCCATTGAGTTTAAAGCGAAAGATACCTGATGCTGAACATTCATTGGTCCACCAAACAACAAAATAGAGTAGGGGGAAACGACGGTAGTGTCTCGTAAAAATACTTTAGTTGTCTCAACCTGGAATTGCGATGAATAAGAAAGAGTTTCAGATAATATTAAGCAAAAAAATTCCCATGAGGAGATAAAAATGAGATATCTTACAAATACGAACCTAAGACTGCACTTTGCATTTCAGCTCAAACAATTATTGAACACAAACATAACCTAGAAATATCAAAAAGGTTCGATCGGTTGAACCAACTAATGTAAAAGCTTAAGTTATTAGAGAGATGATGCGTTAATTTATTTTATTCTTCAAGGAGCCCCCACGTGCAAGTCAAATTTACTTTTTTAAAAAGGCCTAACACATGAATAATTTTTTATAAATGCATGTCCACGATATTAGTAATCAAGATCACTATCTCCTCCAATCTCTGTATTCAAAACTAGCATGGTCATCCACCCAAAAAAGGGAAAGGATGAGGGGTTAAAGGGTCCGACATGATTGAATCGGACTCGAACCAATAAATAACTAAACATTTATTATGCTATAAAAATTGACCATAATAAGAAATTTTTCAGATTAGGCAAAATATATAGACAAAAATATTCATTAACCTTGATTGCTTTAATTTTCTTATGGTTGTTTCCAAAATGACAATATCAATACAAAATCATAGACAAAGCTTCAATGGATTGCTTAAATATTTTAGCAATTCATTGTGTTTTTAGAATAAAATTAAATGAGAAAGATAAAATAAATTGAAATTAAATCCAAGAATAAATTATTTTGTACTTAAGGTTTTCTTCCAAACCCTTTTTTTTTTCACTGTTGACCAAAAAGCGACCTGTTATTATTTTCTCCATTTTTGAACCACTTCTTCTAATCAGTTTCTAGATCCCACATCAGTTTTCACGAAGGAAAATGTGGAGGAAGCTGTATACTAAATAATGTGCCAATGAGAGGAGTTACGCATTTACTTTGTGGGCCTTTGCTGAAAGCAAACCTTTACTGGTACAGGGTCAACAGGTTTAAGGTCAAACCAGTTTTTGGACTGGTTTTGAACTTAAATGGTTTTTGGTGATGACCAAACTGGTTCCTAGTAATTCCAGTCGAACTGGCCAGTTTGATCTGATTTTGAAAACATTGGATACGAGAATGAAACATTTATTTATTCAAATTTAGTTTTCAAAATGATCAAACTAAAGGCAACACAACCACAGTAGCCTTAAAGGGTCTAGCAATTTGATCAGCACATTGTCTCTGACATTCAACTAGCCAATAAACCCTTGGCACTAAACGGACACAAACTTTGAGATCAATAATGTGTAGTAATGGTTTTGCTAAAATGGAAAATAAGTAAGTGGATCAGAAGAATGACTGTCTTTTCTTTTAAGGCACCAGTAAGGTAGGGACCACGGACCACCACAATAATGCAGCACCCAAAAATGTTTCCTTCATTTATTTTTCCAGGGTGCGGGGTTTAGCACCAATATCTTTCAATCTTGTTAACTTCCTAAGTCTAGACTCTGCACAATTGCATCTTTAGAAATACAAAAAAATAGTCAACAAGGTACATTACCTTCTCAAGAAAGACGAGAAATGGATACTGAAAAGCCTTCTGGTTACCATTAATAGAAGAAGGGTGTATGTGAACTTCTCTTTTTCCATCATACCAAACAGGACGATCCTCAGTACTACCTCCCTCCATCATGGCTACATTAGGATACAGACCTGCACATAGTATTGCCTGCATACGCACGTTGAACAATCAATAAGGACAAACCAACCCAGACAGATTATCAGATAAAATGACTGGTTTTACTAAATTTTAGTACCTTAGCTTTTTTTTTCTTTTTTCTTTTTTTCCTTCTTTTTCTTTTTTTTTTTGAAAGTGCAACTGCTACCTACACATTAATTATCCTTCTTTTTTTCCAAACTGATCGCATAAGATGAATTGTCAGTCTTGGTCATTACTATCTCAGAGTACTTCCGTATTTATACTGGTATGCATTGGTGCCAATAATATCTACTATTAATACTAATTCTAAATAAGAAATGGATCAAGGTCCTTGGTAGATAAATTATATATCAATTCCTCAAAAGAGCTACAAGATGGAACTTTCTATTCAAATCATGGTAAATGAAACATCAGAAAAATTTTAAGAGGTCTACAGTTTTAACAAATGTGCATTTTGGACCCACAACTTTAAAGCAGCTTGTGCTCTCTCAGTGTGCATTAGTGAAGACCAAGTATAGGATAATGCCCTTTAATAGAGAAGATTTAAGGCACCAAATGCAACTAGTTTTTACGCACACTGTTTACAAGACTCAGAAAGAAATACTAGCAAAATAGATGACAAGAATAACACAATAATGCTCATCAAACTAGACATCAAAACAGAGTATGCAAGTCAACTGCACCTTCATAATACCCAAGGAACACTATATGCTGGAACTTAAAACGGTGAAATGATTTTACCTTCACTGCTGAAAAATGACATGAATACTGATTGAATGTTTGTGATGAATCTGAAAGCCAAGTGTCAAGCTTTTCTTTCTTTTTCCACCCAACCTGCTTCAGAATTCACTTGTCATTAAAGAAGTTGCAAAATTTAGTAGAAAAATAAACTTGTTAAATAATATGTAAGCTCAAAAAGGCTTTTCAGCACCAATAACTGTTGTAAAATTTTGAAGAAAAGAGTAAAAAGGGGAGGGGAAATTGAAATAAAGGTAAACAAAGCAAGAAAAGAATGAAAACTCAGCAATAAAATAACTAAGCAGTTCATAATTTCGAATGGCAGTTACATCCACAAATATATTTCAGACTTACGTAGCCAAACAGTTCTTTAAATGAAAATCCCTCAATTGAACAGGTAATTGAGATGTTCTCAGACACCAAAAATGTACCAATATTAAATTGGAGTCCAAGATACCCCAGCTTAAAGCCCCATGATCATTTTATGAGAATACCCACAAGATTAAAAACATGTGGGTTCTATGTCTGTAAACCTGAACCGCAGAAAAGAAAAGAGAGAGAACAAAATTTCCACAGGCAACATGCTAGTTAGACAACAAAATTCACATACATGTACACATCATAGATAAAATTGCATTTCTGCTACCAACAACTAATATAATAATTCAATTCTGAGAATCCAAATGTGTTGCACCACAATACTTTCCATGATCCAGAGGTTGCAAATACAATTGTAACACAATCATCATTTAGATTTTATCTGTAGCATTGCATCAGAAAATCTTATCAATTGCAGGTCATTACTTCTGGAAAAGTAACATTCGCCCCTTACTCTCAATGTCAAGCTCTAGTACACCTGGATATCAATGTAAGTATTGACAAAAACTTCCTTGCTAATTAGGTACTCTCTAGTGGAAAAATAGAATGGAAACCAACAAACAGGTTAATTGTGGTTCCTTCTGTCCAAGTTCCAAAGCCCCTAACCAAAGACTGCAATATCTAGTCTTATTTCTGAGCCAACTCACAACATAAATGAACCAAATAACCTCTTATATGACCTTTCTAAAGTGTGTGTGCTAGAGTTTGTCAACAAAAGTCTTCCCTCTTCGTCACTTCCTCTATTCCTAATAGCATTATGCTTTATACTGCATATGGAAGGAAATAAAACTTACTTTCATGTTTAAAGTGTTTTCACTCCTCAATTTGGAGCTTTTGTGAATGAATCAGTCAAAATTCGCATTTATACAATTGTAGCAGAGGCGAAGATATCAGTAGTTCGAAAGGACAAACCCAAATGTATTCAGACAGACAACTACATCTAATCAATTGTTTGGTACTACAAAAAACTAAAAGTACCTGATAATTCTTCGGAATGTTAATAATCCCAATGTCAGCAAGCAATGTACCCAATTGTATTCTCATGTCCCTGGCATAATAGGACGAAAATAAAAAGTTAAAAGAAAATTAAAGGTTATGCATAATTCCTATATATCCTTCAAAAGATTATGTGCAGCTACAAGCACTGGAACAGGACAATATCAGCTACAATTTATTATTCAACTAGCGGTTTGTATGGAATTGGTTAGATTGTCCCATTTTCCAAAGAAATAATAGTTCATAAAACATAATTTCCCATTCATGGAACCCTTTCCACTTTTCCACAAACACTGTCACAATAAAGACACTGCAATACAAATGTCTTTGAGATAGATTCGAAGTCGGATGCCACATTCAATTCAAGATAAATATAACAGAAAACATACCTTATCATAAACATGACAGAGCTGCTCAGGAAATGTGAACTGCAAAATTTTTGTGCTGCTCTAATTCCATGCTGCAAGAACAGAACAAATTGTTACCTCAAAAATAATGTAGGTTACATCCGAAGCAGTTCTGTAAATCAACAGAGTAACACATGCTAACATAAATTCTATAAAAAAAAAATCTAGTATAGGTGAAATATGTTAACCGAGAAGGTGACCAATTACATTGGGTGGTAAAGACATTTATAGATTCTTCAATCTTAGTAGAGTTATCCCTTAATACACAGGCAGCTCCCTCTAAATCAAGGATAGTTGAAATCACAATGGCAAAACCATTGGAATATACCAATACAATCTGGTACATTCCA